CTCGCCCTCCCTATCTCCCCCCTCTCTCCTCTCCCCCCCTCTCCCTTCCCGCTCTCCTCCCTCCCTCCTCTCCCCCTCTCCTCCCTCTCTCTCTCCTCCCTCTCTCTCCCTCTCTCCCTCCCTCTCTTCCCTCTCTCTGCCTCCTCTCTCTGCCTTCTCTCTCCCTCTCTCTCCTCTTCCCTCTCTCCCGTCTCTCTCCCTCTCTCTCCTCTCTCTCCTCTCTCCCCTCTCTCCCTCTTCTTCCTCTCTCTCTCTCTCTCCCTCTCTCTCCCTCTCTCTCCCTCTTCTCTCCCTCTCTCTCCCTCTCTCTCCCTCTCTTTCCTCTCTCTCTTCCTCTCTTTCCCTCTCTCCCTCTCCCTCTCTTTCCCTCTCCTCTCCCTCTCCCTCTCTCTCTATTTATCTCTCTATCTATCTCTCTATCTATCTATCTCTCTATCTACTCCTATCTATTCTCTCTATCTTAATCTCTCTATCTTCTCCATCTATCTCTCTCTGGCTTTTCTTATTTCTCGCTTAATTTTTCTTTCTGAACAAATATAATTATTTGTTTTGTAAATAATAAGTAATATTCTGTTTTTCGAGTGCTTACATGCTTCTGTATTGCAAATTTTTGCATAAAATGCATATTTGTAACCAACTTTTCCTTGCTTATTGCCATTCGAAATTTCCACTTAGTTTATTAGACAAGATAAGCTTACAATTGTCTTAAATGCTTATTTTTGGACTTTCGACGTTTCCTCCCTGGACTCTCTCCCTCTCTCTCCCCCTCTCTCTCCCTCACTCTCCCTCTCTCCCTTTCTCTCCCTCTCTCTCCTTCTCTCTCTCCCTCTCTCTCCCTCTCTCTCCCTCTCTCCCTCTCTCTTAGTGACCCCATTGCATTAGTGTTTGTGTCGAAAATGCCCTGTTTTTTCTGGTAGATAACTTCATTGCGTAAGCAGTAGTGAGAAAATAATTATAAACATTATTATTTACATATAATTGTATAATATACTAAATATTATGATATAGCATATAGTGCAGGCATATATACTCGTAATATGGCGGGAATACGAAATGTGACTGGCAGAACGTGACCTGCGAAACACCAACGTATGATGGATTGCCTACCAATCAGGGGCTAATAACGGAACCCCTTCCGGAGATACTACGTAAGCTTCAGTTGCGCCTCTGTGATTAATGGCTACACTCGAAGCATCTGGTAGCTTGTAGAGATAAACGAGTGCCACACTTCAAGAAACTCGTCTAGATCTGCATTCCCGGCCTTTCCTGAGTCTTGATTTAATTTTAATATTGCGCAATCCCCAGCAATGCAACCAAGAAGTACACGGGAGCCACTGCGTCATATACTCGAAATGAAAGGAAATTTATACATTCAGAGAAGGTATTCGATTATACACCACTAATTGTAAAAAGTGAAAAACTAGAAATGTTATTTGAAATAACGCGTGTATTCGTTTGTTCGGCTAAGGGCTTTTATAGTCCATCATTAAAGTGTTCATTTATCAAATTGCTCTTCACCGTACGATTACGTTTGCATTTAGCCACCAATATATTGTATAACTGATGACAAACGAGTGTGGCACCACACGATAATCAGAATACTCTCTATGTTGGTTATGGAAACTTTTAGAGTACCGTTATAAAATGTTTCTTTGACTGACAAAAGAACATAGAAATATATTTTGTCAGAAGATCATTTATTTTAAAGATGCAGGCTGCCAAGAAAAATTGTAAATCCTATATTATTCTTTATTAAAAAACTAGTGGTGCTAAACGGCACGCTCTTACTCGCCTTTTGTAAAAGTTATGTAAAACTTTTTACTCTAGTTATGTAATACAATTTTTTTAATAAATTATAAAAATGAATGAATGTTTAATCATTTAAAATTTTAGCTATTCTTTTTTCTTTATATGAAGCCTCTGGGACATTTTCAAAACAAAAAAAATAGCTCCAACGTTTTGATTAAATGTTATTGTTCGATAGTATTCGATAGTTTGATGTAAGAACATTTATGCGAATGGTGCAGGTTTAATTTTCCTTGAAAAACATAATTTTTCGAAACTTGCAAAAATTCAAATTTTTTTCTCAAATTTTTTTCGTCTTTTCTAAAACAATTCAAGCAGCCAGCTGACAAGGTAAAAGCGCAAAGATTACAATATTGTCAATTGCAATAAATTAGTAATTAGCAGTCATACAAATTTCTGAACAATAAATGTTGTAATGTATTGTAACCATATGCATAAACATTTTCAAATATAAAATGATATCAAAAAATGTATAACACAAAAAAATTGAATTTCCTTTAAAAACGACTGATTTTTTAAACAAATCATCGGACAAAACCTGCAAATGAAAACAGCCATTCAACTAGCGTGGATAAACATGTGAATATATTTAAAATACGTATTCCATTTACACGTATTTAAATACTGCCCAAGCCTGCATTACAAATCGTACAACCTTTGGTGCAAAAACTAAATATTTTGAAGAAAATATCAATAGAAATTTGACAATTATAACTAATTCTCATTCAGGTAAATCATGTCCCAACAATAAGACGTAATTCACAAAAG